TCTTGTCTTTGCATGCAGAGCAGAAGAGGCTGCCGTTGTAGTTCCAGCTGACATTGTAGATGAGGTCGGGGTGCAGGCTGTCTAGGCGGTACAGCTCCTCTGCTGTGCCCACATTCCAGATGAGCACCACATTATCACAGCCTGCAGGGCATGGGGCCATGAGCCCACCAGGCCCGCCCAGATCACCCTCCTGGGACCAGACCCAAGAACTCGATCTGGGAGGACCTCAGTGTTCCCATTTGTCGGGTTAGCCTGGGAAAGGGTGTGGGTTCCAGAGGTGTGAATGGAATTGGGGTGGGCAGCAGGGCCGTGCAGACCTGCACTGAGCAGCACATTGCGGGCTGTCGGGTGCCAGGTGACAATGCCCACTCGCTTAGTGTGCCCCTCCAGCACCACCACTGGCTCTGTCAGTGGGGAGGCCAGTCCATTCTCTGGGATCTGCCATACCTGTGGGAAGGGTGGGGATGCAGCTGAGGCCTCGTGCCATATCTGTGGCCCTCACCCAACCACAGCTCTGTGCCTTACCATGACTGTGCAGTCCTCTGAGCCACTGGCGATGACCTCATCGTTGTGGGGACACCAGTCAATGTCCAGGACAGGTCCCGTGTGTCCACACACTGTCGGGTAGCCCTTGTCAATACGGCCCGTCTGCAGGCATGAGGGGGGCAGTCAAGGTGAGCAGGAAATGTTGCCTCTGACCCTGACTCTGGGGCAATAAAGACTCTCTCGGTCTGTGCTAACATCTCTTGGGCAGCAAATCTGGATTATGATACCTGCCCAGCAGTGTGGGGATGGGCAAAATATGGGATGTGAAGTGAGCAGATAGACAAGCAGGTGGCCAAGCTGCCTCCAGTCCTTCCCCAGCTCTGTGGGAAGGCCCACCTTGCTTAGGGGGAGCACGAGGAAGGCGCCCCCACCACTGGCCTCCACAATCACTGCCAGGAACTTGGGGTTGACTGCGCAGAAGGTGCTGTCCCAGGTGACGCGAGACACTCGGATGTCCTCATAGCACTGGTCATTCTTGACTGGCTGCCCGAACACATGCCGGAATTTGCTCTGCCGAACCACTTTACGGAAGGACATGTCTGCAGAGTGGAGAGGCCTAGGTTAACGCCCCCATACCAACAACCCCTAATCCCCAACCCTCCCAGGAAGGCATGAAGGGAGGTGGGGAGGATGGGGGCTCGTCATTATAACCTGCCTGGCTCTGTTTCCCATTACAGAATGGGGTCACAGGTGCAGGCCTTGGCTGCCTGCCTCCAGGTGGGGAACTGAAGGGGGAAA